ACAAAACGGTTATTTATCAGGAGAAAAGGAATTCCTACAAGACTGCAAAATGATAAAAAAAAAAAACACTATTTGTTATTAGTATAGTTAGAAGAACCAATTTTATTTCGATTGACTTAAAGTTTGAACTTTTTTTTTCTTTCATGAATAAACTAACACTCTTTCTCATGATTTATATAAATGCATGCAGGTAATCATTAGAACTTTTCAGCAAGTTACATGCTTGTTTTTATCAGACAATTTAATGTTATAGCCCAGTGGTCAGCAAACTGTGGCTCGCCAGCCACATGTGGCTCTTTGGCCCTTTGAGTGTGGCTCTTCCACAAAACAACACAACCTGAGCAAGTCTATTTTGAAGAAGTGTCATTAGAAAAACTTTAACTTTAACAAATTTGACTCTCAAAAGAAATTTGAATCTTTGTACTGTTGATATTTGGCTCTGTTGAATAATGAGATTGCTGATCACTTTTTAGCCAATAGAAAAAAAAAAAAAAAAGATGTAGTATATAATAGTTATATTTTGCAGGCTTACATTGAGTCACATTTCTTCCATTTGCAATTGCTGTTCCAATCTGAAAGCAGAAGTTTCTTTCTAAAGGTGTATGTATAGGACTAGAGAACCTAGTCCTGACCTATGTCAATGCCATCAGCAGTGGGGGCCTACCCTGCATGGAGACCACAGTCCTGGCCTCGGCCCAAATAGAAAACTCGGCTACAGAGAAAAAAGCCCTGGCCCCCTATGACAGGCAGATGAGTAACATAAATGCCAACATAAAGCTAGCAATCTCTGCCATGAATATCACCTCCAAAGAAAAAAGGACTTCAGTAGAAAGACAGGATCAGGAGAAAGGATGTGGTCCTGCTGAGGTGGCTGTAAGTTTTTGCAGGATCACAGACTGGTTTTGGAGAAGCCTTTCCAAAAATCCTGAGGTTGAGCTAACATTTCCTCTGTACTCTTTCTACTTCCTATTTTCACATTAAAGGCCCAGCTAGAAAAAAGGCGGGATGACTTTTATAAAGAGAATATAAAAGCATCATCGGATCGCTGCTCAGCTTTACTTAAGGATATCTTCGATTCTTTAGAAGAAGATATAAAGCAGGGGGTTTATTCTAAACCAGGAGGATATCGTCTCTTAATGCAGACTGTGCATGAGCTCAAGAAAAAGTATCTTCAGGAACCCAGGAAGGGAATACAGGTAACCAGCATTTATCTGTCTCTCTGTTTCTCCCTTCAACCCCACACTAGCCTTCTACCCAGTCTCCCTCAACCTCCTTTCCTTGGATCTGCTCTCTCCATGATGGCTTCATCCTCACTCCATATGAAATCACAGCACCAATAGCTCAAAAAATAGAGCCTTCACATGAGAAGAGACACTCTGAATCTATATTTATACCAATCTTTTACAAAGGATTCTAGTTCATCGGGTGCCAGGGTTGGCCAACCTGGAGAATGTGCCCAACCAGTGACAGGGGCACCTTGACCAGCACAAGGAACAGGGCCAAGTGAAGTGATTCCTACAAGAAAAGATGGTGGGCAAATAGGAATAAGCATTTCCAGCGATTTCCTATCACTAATGCCATTTTATCGGTGTCCTAGAGTGAAGAAGTTCTTCAGACATACCTGAAGTCCAAGGAGTCTGTGATTGATGCAATTCTACAGACAGACCAGAATCTCACAGTTAAGGAAAAGGAGATCGAAGGTGAGGAGCAAGTCAAGAGACTAGATAGCCTCAACAGCTTTTAAAAGTTTAAATAATTTGGCTTGGAGAACCTGGGGTCCTTAAACAAAAGCCAGATGAGCAAAGATGCCTACAACTAGCCAGAGTCAGTCTCAGTGGGCAAATGCAGTCAGCAGCAACAATGTCAGGTGAGTTCACAAAGAAGAAAAAGTGAGGGGGTCACCCACATGAATTTGTCTTCTTCCTTTCCTCCTGGCAGTGCAACGTGTGAAAGCTGAATCTGCAGAGGCTGCAGCAAAAATGCTGGAGGAAATGCATAAGAAGAATCAGCAGATGATGGAGGAGAAAGAAAAGAGTTTTCAGGAACATGTGAAACAACTGACTGAGAAGATGGAGCAGGAGAGGGCCCAATTAATGGCAGAGCAAGAGAGGACTATGGCTCTTAAACTTGAGGTATGTAATGGTGTCACCTTGAGGTGTCTCTTTTTGTTTTCTGTCCACTCTCCCTGACTTGTATGTGTGCCTATTAGAGCAGGAATACCATAAGGTTATTGCTTGCTCACTTATTACGTTCAAGCCCTGTCTGTCTCCCTTATTTGGTGCCTGCCTACATCTGGTTATTTTATAAAATTTATTATCCTTTATCACAAATCCAGTCCTTTATCAGTAAACTACAGGTCCAGTGCATGGATTCATGCAATGTTTTGGTCTCTCAGCCTGACCTGCACCATCTCGCAATTTAGGACGTGTCGGGGAATGTCAGAACAATGATTTTGGCCAAATCCCAACAGGCCAGGCCAAGGCACCCCACCAGTGCACAAATCCAAGCACCGGGCCTCTAATATGTATATAAGATCTTTGCTTAATCTCTTCTCAATCTCCCCTGTCTTCTATTTTTTCTGAAATTCATCAGTCTGCTCTAAGTTTCCATGCCTGTACATTGAGCTGCTGCCCTCTGATGATCAGTGCATATCCGAGCTACCAGTCAAACAGTCAAATTGTTCAATGGTCATTTAGGCTTCTAAATATATAGACAAGAGGCCCTGTGCACAAAATTTTGTGCATGGATAGGGTCCTTTGGCCTAGCTGGCAATCAGGGCCAATCAGGGCCTCCCTCTGGCTGCTACAGCAACAAATTTTCCCCAGTTGCCAGCTGCTGGGTGGAACTTTCCCTCCTCTGGCTGCCAGCTTACAGATGGGGCTTCCACTGGTGGCCAGGGCACATCATGGTGAGTGTCCGAACTTCCAAGGGGACAATTTGCATATTACCTTTTTATTATATAAGATTATTCAATCAATGGTAGCTATTATATTTCAGGCATTGTAAATATATCTTATCTGTATCTCTTGCTGAATATTATATGAAGCAAGAATTGCTGTTTCTTAGAAGAAACAGAGGTTCAGAAAAGATGAGCTTTTACAGGGTCACACAGATCGATAAGATATCTGAACCACCTTCAGACTTAGAGGAATCTACAATCACTGTTTTTCTGACACACCTGGTGTGACTTTGGTTCTCAGAGAACCTTTATGAGCAGAAAGACTCTTTGCCTCTCACTCCTGTGTCTGCCACTCCTGCCTGTTTGCTATGCCCTACTCCTAGTTTGTGTAGTGAGTTTTCTGCAGAAATCCAGAATGGACAGTTAGGAGACTTGATGTCCTTATTTATATCCTGCTATTCTTGCCACCAAGCTGTAGAGGCTTACCGTATTTTCCGGCGTATAAGACGACTTTTGAAACGAAAAAAAGTCAACCGAAAATCGGGGGGGCAAAAGACCAAAATTACACAAAAATTACCTGCAGATCTTGATGGCAAAGTACGTCTTTTCTTTGAAGTGGGGCGGGGGGGGGGGGGAGTCTTATACAGCAAATATAGGCCTGAACCTATGTTTTAACTGTAAAATTAGGGGTTCGTCTTATACGCCGGAAAATACTGGTAAGTCAAATTCCCTGATCTAAGATTCAGGCACTTCTTTTGATTTTGAGAAATTTTATTTATGTCATGTGTATGTATATAAAAGTCTGATTACGTGTGTGTGTGTGTGTGTGTGTGTGTATGAGGGTCTATAAGATTTGAAAAGAAACATAATTAAGATTGCCCACATAGGTTATATAGAATTAATGGGACTTATAATTTAAGTTTATCAAAATATTAAAAGGTATAAGCCAAAATTTCTCTTACCTAAAGGAGATTTAAGAAAAGCAATCATGCTGAAAACATGATTGGCTCATTGGTAGAGCGTTGGCCTGCGGACTGAAGGGTCCCGGGTTCGATTCCGGGTCAAGGGCATGTACCTTCGTTGCTGGCACATACCCAGTAGGGGGTGTGCAGGAGGCAGCTAGTCGATGCTTCTCTATCATCGACGTTTCTAGCTCTCTATCTCTCTCCCTTCCTCTCTGTAAAAAATCAATAAGATATATAAAAAGAATTTTTAAAAAATTAAAAAACAAGATAAGCGATCATGGAGCTAGGATGTCCAAGTGAAAGTGTCCTATAGAATAAAAGCCTGATATGCAAATTGTCCCCTCTACTGGGAGTTTGACCAGGAGTTCGACTACTCACTATGATGTGCACTGACCACCATGGGGCAGTGTGGAACATGGCGAGAGTCTGTGACCCAGAGCTGGCAGAGGGTGGCAGTGGAGGTGCTGCCAGCCCTGATTGGCCCCAATGAGATTGGGACTGTGGCGGGATGGTAGACCAGGTAAGTGGGCAGCGCCAGGCCAAGTTGAGTGTGAGCGGGGCCCCATCACCCCACCAGTCCAGGTAGTGTGACCAATGGCACTGAGGTAGCCTGGTGGGGCCCGATGACTCAGAAGGAGGGGGTTATACAGGGGCCCAGATGCTGCCCAGGACCCAGAGGCCAGCTGGGACCTGCCCTTCCACACCAGATCCTTTGCTTCAATTGCTGGCCAAGCCTAGGAACCAATCACACCTGTGCTTGGATTCCATGCACCACACCTCTTTGAATGAATATTTATAATAAAGAAAATTTCAAGAAGAAATTAAATACTCAAAAAAATAAAGAACTATAAATGTGGAAACTAGCCTGAAGTTGAGATTTGCTTACTGCTGTACTTTATTTACTCTTTATTTGTCCCTTTTTAGGAACAGGCCTTGTTACTAAAGGAAGGATTCCAAAATGAGAGCAGAACACTTCAGAGAGAAATAGACAGTCTCAAAAATGACATGGCAAGAATGAATAAGGATAAATGTACCATAAGCTAATGACCTAAGGGAAAGAGATTCCCCGGTCACTCTACCCAAGGCATAACTCAAGCAGTTGAAGAAACTTGAAAAATGTCACAACTTGAGAAAATGACCCTCTTTAAGCTGATAAAAGAAATCTACAAAAAAAACAATCCTTCACCTAACATACATACTTATTGATAATAAATGGAATGCTTTGCCCCTAACTCAGGAATAAAGGAAGAATGTGCAGTCTCTCCTCTCCAGAAAATAGCATAATGAAGGTTTCCTACAATATGGCAAAAGAAAGAAAGAAGGGAAGAAAGGAAGAGAAAGAGGAAGGGAGGGAGGGAGAAGGAAAGGAAATAATAAAATTGTCTTCATTCTCACATGCAATGATTATGCACATAGATAAATCACAGGGAATCTACAACAAAAAAGCCAAAAACAGCAATATAAACTCTTGGCACAAATACATGAGTTTAACAAGGTTGTAAGATTCAAGGTCAATTCATAAAATCTGTATTTTTATATAGAAGCAATAATCTATTGAAAATCAAAAATTAAAAAACAATACCATTTACAATAGTTGTTTTTTATTTTATTTTATTTTATTATTGATTATGGTATCACATAATTGTCCTCATCCCCCCATTCCCATCCCAAACCCCTCCCTATATATGCCCCCACCCCCCTGTTGTCCATGGCCACTGGCTAGGCCCATATGCATGCACACAAGTCCTTTGGTTGGTCTCTTCCCCTTACCCCCACCCTCCCCTTCTTTCCCTCAGAGGTTTGAGAGTCTGATCGCTGCTTTTCTTTCTTTGAGTCTGTTTTGTTCATCAGTTTATGTTATTCATTATTTCCTCTAGATGTGTGAGATCATGTGATCCAAGAAATATCCTTGTAAGAACCTAAACTGCAACAAGCCATAATGGTTATGCTGAGAGGCAAATGAATCAGTCTGTAGTGAGTCCTTTTCTGGGCCAACAGTTCTTTTGAATCCCAATTTCAATGTCAAATAGTTCCTTATGTGTACATGTCAGCCATGATATTTCAGATCTGGTTGGTGGACAAATGGTGGTGATGCAGGTCTGACCATCTCTGGTTTGGTCCTGGGCATCCTTCAGCAACACTCAGCTGCTGTCTGCTGGTATGGTGAGGCATCGTCAGCATCTCCCATTTCTGAATTGTGTCTCTTCTGTCTTCATGGCTGGAGCATTTCTGTCTATTCCTCTCTGTTACAGGATTCCAGATGATTTCGGAGTTGTTTTCTGAAATTATACAAACATATTCTCAACCAAATGTTAATAAAGGGATATTCTCTTTAAATTTGACTTGGGATTCTTTTTCTTTTTCCCCAAATAATTTTCCTCTGGCTTGTTTTGACACCATGTGTGTATTTTCATGGTTATCCTGCTGTTAGTGTTTCGAATGAAGGTTAATTTTCTAAAGTACAAATTTTTTAGATGTAAATTATTCTCAGGATATTTTTCCTTACATGATATTCTTCCACTGTCACCCCCTTTTTTAATTTAAATAATAGGAGACTTTTGGAAATTTTATAATGTAGTCTTAATAGCTTTTACATTTTAATTATTTGTGCTACACTATGACTGCTTTAGGTTCATAACATGTCGTGCAGTTTTACCACGAGACGCTCTTCCAATAAGAATTTTTGTTAACACTTTAGGAACAGGTTTTTGTACAGTACAATCAGTTTTTCTAGAATATTCATTTATTTCCATTAGCCACAATAATTTCCTCTGATAAATTGGCTACTATTCATGTGTCAAACTCAACACTCTAGCAACAATCTTATTTACCATGTGTGTATTAGTGGAATTGATTATTTGCCTTCTTGAGAAGGGCCTGAGTATTCCTGCTACTAGGCTGGACCTGGATATTAAAAACCCATTTGCCCACCCTATGGGTACAAGACCTCTCAAACAAGTGAGAGGGCAGCTGCTATCAACCAATCTCTGTCTGTTACCTGGATCCCAATTTGAGCTGTGCATGGGAAGCTAAGCAGCCATGGGAGAAGGAGACTTCCCTCAGAATGGGAGAAGATTCAGGAGTCTGCCACGTTGCAGGGGCGTGGGGGTGGTAAGGGTCTGTGCCCCACCTCTGTTGACCCCCAAGTTCTCTCCTGATGGCCCCTCTGCAACTGCCTGTCTTAGGTTGTTCCTTCCCTGAGGGATCTTACCCATCTTTGGCTAACCAGCCATCCTACAGGGCCAAGCAGGGTGATGTGAGGTTTAGTTCTGTCTCCTTGGTAGCCTATGCCCCCATGGGCTCCACGCCCAGCACCTGCCTTGTGATCCCCTCACCTGCTGGCGAGGCCTGGGCATTGATCTCATATTTTTGGAATATCTGGAAGCAGATAGTGCTGACCAGCAGCAGTGCCAAGAGGACAAATTGAAGGAGCAAAGGGCAGTCCCCACTGAAACCCTCCAGGAGCTGGGAGCCTGCACAAAGCCTGTAAGAGAGAGGCCTTTAAAATCTTTAGAGCTCCATCCTGCATGTGAACCAGGAATTCCGGAGGTGAAGCCACACTGTGAGAGGAAACATACCCTTCCTTAGAAGGGCAATTCCTACCAGGTGCTGTCAGGGATTCTCACTTGTGCAGTGACATGTTTAAGCACTATTAGCCGGAAGTGACACAGTCAATCCATGCCTTTTTAAAAATTGTTCAGAGGGCGCTACCCAGTTTGGCTCTATCTCAGGGGATAGAGCATTGGCCTGGGGACTCAAGAGTCCCATGTTCGATTCTGGTCAAGGGCACATACCCAGTAGGGAGTGTGCAGTAGGCAGCTGATCCATGGTTCTCTCTCATTGATGTTTCTAACTCTCTAACCCTCTCCCTTCCTCTCTGTAAAAAATCAATAAAATATTTTTTTAATTAAAATAAAAATTGTTCAGAAACTGTAAAAAATTTCTCACTGATCAAGTAACCACTTCTAATATTAAGTTGCCGTAAATCCAGCCAAATTCACATGTGGATAGACAGACAGAAAAGAAGGCAGATAGATACATAGATACATGTTACCTTTGGGCTCAGCTGATAAAAATTAAAAGAATGTCCATGTGCCTTCTCAGGCTCTCTACAGTTTATAGCAGAGGAAAAATTAACTGTTGACCTGCATTAGAATCCTACCAAATAAAAGAGTAATAGGCAGATTGACCATCATTCCAGCACACAAGATGGCTGTGTCATGTGGTCAAAAATTCTGGCCCTATGTGGACACAAGATGGCCACTACAAGATGGCCAGCAGAAGAGGGCAATTGAGACGGCAGTTGGGGCCATCAGGCCAAGCAGGGGAGGGTAGTTAGGGGTGACCAGGCCTACATGGAGGGCAGTTGGGAGCCATCAGGCCAGCAGGGGAGGGCAGTTAGGGGTGACCAGGCCAGCAGAGGAGGGAAGTTGGAGGCATATGGGCCTGCAGGGAAGGGCATTTGGAGGGGAACTAGGCCTGCAGGGGAGGATAGTTAGGGATGACCAGGCCTACAGAGGAGGGCAGTTAGGGGCCAACAGGCTGGCAGGGGAGCAGTTAGGCATCAAGCAGGCTGGTAGGGGAGTGGTTAGGGTGTGATCAGGCTGGCAGGCAGAAGCAGTTAGGGGCAATCTTACTAGGATCCGGCCTAAGCAGGCAGTTGGATATCCCTCGAAGGGTCCCAGATTGTTGAGGGCGCAGGCTGGACTGAGGGACACCCCACTCCCACCATGCATAAATTTCATGCACCAGACCTCTAAGTTTAAAAATAAAACCTTTCCCTTACCTGAGTGTTGAATTGAACTTACCTACATTACAGGTGTGGTTTCAGAAACTACTTAAAATGGGCCATCATTGATGGGTGCCCAGAACATCTGGCAGCAGCAACTCCTTTTTGGAAAGCTGTGTTCCACTTGGAATCATAAGATTCCCACACAACAGTCCAGAGAATCATGGGGCCAAACTACATACTCAAAAAAGGGTGCAATCACACAAGCAAGAGATACAAAGTAACACACAAATGGCAGAAAGACCCACTAGGATCAGACACTGTAATTTTGAGCTCAGGTGATAAGATAAAATGACTATACTGTTTAATAATATAAGAAATTATATTTCAAGAGACAAGATATCATAAAATACTATAAAGCAGATTTTGAAAATAAAAAAAATTTAAGCAGAAAAAGGTTTTCTTGAATGGATAATATAATTAATCTTTTTTCAAGATAATAACTGTTGAATGGAGGCGAGACCACCCAAGAGGCAGAGACCCCTACCCGGGAAATAACTCCAACTAGCCAATTGCGGAGTCTAATTACAAATTTATTACAGATTCGAATTTGGGCTGCCGCCGTGGCAATGGCGCGGCCAGAAGCAGCAGCAGTTACAAAGCGGTCTCTCTCTTTTTAAGCATTCTTCAAACAAGCACATTCCAAACAAGGGGGGGGTGGTGGTCTTAACCTTGTGATTGCATGCATCAGCCAGATGGCCTAATCTCCCTCCTTGGTTTGTTCTGCTATCTTAGCCTTGACTATCCCAGACTGCTGATTTGGCCTTCAGCCTTGACTAACCCAGACTGTTAACTTGGCCTTCAGCCTTGACTAACCCAGACTGTTGACTTAGCCTTCAGGTCCGGGAGGGGTGAGTAGCAACTTTCTACCCTCCAGGCAGGGTCAGTTATTTTCCATTTCTCATTCCCCACTGCTTTTAGTTCCTTAGCAGAGGTCAAATCCTTGGCCTCTTTTCTTTGTAAGCAAGCAAGCAAGTTTACAAAAGCAAGAAATCAGCAGTTAGCTAAACAGCTGTGTCTTCAGCCTGCATGATTCGGCTGTATTGGGTGGTTAGGGCTAACAGCTTAACAGCCTGAACACGCTCTCTAACAAAAGCTACTAACCTATTAATTATGATGGGCCCACAGGTCAGGCCTAGAAGTAAGAGTAGGAGGGGTCCCGCCAAGGCTGATATCAGGGTGGTCAGCCAAGGGGACCAATTGAACAGCCCTTCAAACCAGCCCTCTTGACTTTCTTTCTCCTTTTCCCTTTCTCTCAGTCGCTTCTGAAGGGTTTTAATGCTCTCCCTTATCACGCCTGAGTGGTTGGCATAGAAGCAACACGCCTCTCCAAGCGCTGCACAGAGGCCTCCCTGTTGGAGAAATAACAAGTCTAGCCCTCGCCGGTTCTGGAGGACTACCTCCGCCAGGGAGTCCAGGGCCTTCTCTAGGTGGCTGATTTGATCTTGAATGAGCCTGATATCTTCTGAGAACTG